TTCTTAGTGAGCATATCAATTAGGGTTCTCCAGAGGAACAGAACCAGTAGGAGATATGTTTTAAGGAATTGGCTTACATGAGTGCAGAGCTGGCAAGTCTGAAATCTATAGGGCAGGCCAGCAGGCTAGAAATCCACTCAGGCAGGGTTTCTAGTCTTGAGACATCATTCCGTCTCTGGGAAACTCAGGTTTTGCCTTCAAGGCTCTTCGCTGATGAAATGAGGCCTATACAGATGGTCAAGGATAATCTCCTTTACTTAAAGTCAGCTGACATTTACAAAGCACCTTCATAGTACCATGTAGACTAGTGTTTGACCAAACAACAGGGCACCATAGCCTAGCCAAGTTTACACAAAATTTAATCATCACAGTAAGTGACCAATAAATGTTTGCTTAATTAAAATATGCCTTTGAGCTTCTTATCTAAAGCTCAGTAAAGAACAATCTCACTTCTGTTTCCAGCAGTAATTTGAACTCTATAACTTAAAAATCCCCCACCATCTAAACTCCTCCCAACAGCTCTAAATAAAAAATAAAAACACCTTTTAAGATACATAACTGAACTTGTAAGAAAGAAAAGGACTCTCCAATGGCTGAAAATGAAGACAGACTGAGAAGTAAGTCTATGAGATGTTTTTATCAAGCCTGTTGGGATATTTATTATGGTAACTTTGGGACTTGGGAAAAGGAGATAAGACAGACCTTAAAGGTAAGACCTACAAGTGAGATTGGGACATTCAGTGAAATGGTGGATAGAAAAAAATTAAATTAATGCATGGATGCAAGAAAGTTGCAGATCTCAGCCTATCCTCTAGATAGGAAAAAAAAAAAAAAAGGCCTCTCTTTGAGAATCAAAAACCATAGGTCTGGTCCAGGCCAGGTAGGTAAGTAAGTTGGTTAGAATATTGTCCCGATACACCAAGGTTATGGGTTCAATTCTAGTTCAGGGCAACCAATAAATGCATAAATAAGTGGAAGAACAAATCAACGTTGTTCCCCCACCCCCTCAAAAATCAATTAAAAAATTAAAACAAAACTATAAATCTGTCCTCAGTTGGGTTTGGAGTTTGGATGTATACTATCTATGTGCCCTGAGGTCCTACAAGTTGATTAATGAACATAAAAGTATGCCCAGCCAATGATACCTGGGGGTGCCTAGCAGAAAAACACACAAACCTTCTTAAGGTGATAAAAGATCTAAAACCATAAGATGATAAAAATAGCTGTAGCCCTGACTGGTTTGCCTCAGTGGACAGAGCATCAGCCTGTGGACTGAAGGCTCCCAGGTTCGATTCCGGTCAAGGGCATGTACCTTGGTTGCGGGCACATCCCCAGTAGGGGGTGTGCAGGAGGCAGCTGATCGATGTTTCTCTCTCATCGATATTTCTAACTATCTTTCTCCCTTCCTTTCTCTGTAAAAAATCAATAAAATATATTTTAAAAAATAGCTGTAAAATGAATATATTTAAAATGGTTAAGGACAAATGAAAAATGAGAGGATAGAGTCAGATATCACGAATAATATAAGGCAGATATGTCAAATAGAATTTCTAGAAATAAAAACACAGAGCATTGAAATTAAAAACATCATGGATGGTTTAAACGGGAGATTAGACACTGCTGAAGAGAAAATTGGTGAATGGAAAGTAAGGCAGAAATTACCCATGATGCTTCACAGAGAGGGAAAGTATGAAAGCACAGTTAAGAGACATGAGAATAGAATGAGAAGATCCAATATATGTTTAATAATTGTTCTAAAAGGAAAGAATAGAGAGAATGGAAAAGAAGCAATTTCTAGAGGTAATGGTTGAAAATTTTCAAAAATTGATGAAAGACCTCAATTAGGAAGTACATTGAGTTCCAAAGGATAAATGAACATAAAACTACTTCTAGACATATTATAGTGAAACTGCATAACACAACTATGAAAGTAGTTCTTAAGAGCATCAGAAGTAAAAGAGATAGCTTACAAGAAAAGACAAACTGAAAATAGTGGCAAAATAAACAAAGGAATAATATCCTTAAAAGCTGAGAGGGAAAATAAACCCCACTTAATCTAGAATTTTTCGCCTAGTTAAATCTTAATTCAAGAGTGAGGGTAAACAAAACACTAATTCAAAAGAATATGTGCACCTCTATATTTATTGCAGTGTTATTTATATATGAGTGGATAAAAAAGCTGTGGTATCAATTTATGAGTGGATAAAAAAGCTGTGGTACAACCTGGCCAGTGTAGCTCAGTGGTTGAGCTTCAACCCATGAACCAGGAAGTCACAGTTTGATTCCTGGTCAGGGCACATGCCCAGGTTTCGGGCTCGATCCCCAGTAGGGGGCGTGCAGGAGGCAGCTGATCATTGATGTTGATGTTTCTATCTCTCCCTCTCCTTCTCCCTTTCTCTCCCTGAAATCAATAAAAAAATATTTAAAAAAATAAAGTTGTGAGTTCACAACAAAATAAAATGCAAAACATATATATTTTTTAAAAAGCTGTGGTAAATATATACAATGGAATATTACTTGGCCATAAAAAGAATGAAATCTTAACCATTTGCAACAGCATGGATGAACCTAGAGGGTATTATGCTAAGTGAAATAAGTCAGTTAGAGAAAGATTAATGCCATATGATTTCATTTATATGTGGAAGCTAAAGAACAACATAAATAAACAAACAAAACAGTTGTTTAAAAAATTAAACAACTCATAGATACAGAGAACAGATTGATGGTTGACAGAGAAGGAGGTCAGGGGTTGGGAGACTAGGTGAAAAGGGTGAAAGGATTGAGAAGTACAGGTTGGTATTTAGAAAATAGTCATGGGTTGTAAAGTACTGCATAGGAAATATAGTCAATAATGTAATAAATATCTATGGTACTAGGTGGGTACTGGAAATATCAGGGGGAACATTTTGTAAAGTATATGATTGTCTAACCATTATGCTGTATACCTGAAACTAATACAAAATAATATTGACTGTAAAGTGTAATGGAAAAAACAATTTAAAAAAAACCCACAGCAAACTTCAAGACAGCAAATTTCAGCACAATTTAAAAACCAGCTGTCTGAAATTGGAAACACACACACACACACACACACACACACACACACACACACACACCTGAAAAATAGTAATTTTTCTGATGATCCCTTGTTACGAATATTGTAGATTCTTGCATTGGGGTTGGGAGGTAGGATTTGAAGACCTAGTTTTAAGTTTCCTACACATGGATGATAGAGAGACAGACTTGTAAGTCTTTAGACCATTCAAGAAACATAGTCATGTGTCAGAATTGTTAATACAAAGGGAGAAGCTACTCTTGGCTTTAGGATTTCAGCTTTATGAAAATCCCCAAAGTACACAATCTAGACCCTGGGAAATAAATAGCATTTAAGTAGAAAGCTCTTTTCAAGAGTATTGTCAAGGTTTCTGTTTCATTATTCCCCAAACTCCAAATTATTGGCTTCATGCGTCTTCAGAGGCCCCTCTCCTAGTTACTGGGAAGCCAGGAAGCAAGAACTAGCTCCATCTTTTAGCCTTATCCCCACTGCCCTGTCACTTCCTCTCTGCCATAAACATATCCTATGTTATACCATAACTGTACCACTATTTAGCATGGCTTTGTGAATTATACATTCATACTGCAATATTTTTGTGTAAGCCACTTCTCTACTTGGAATGCCCTTTCCACACCGCATATTAAAATCTTACTGTTTAACTTCAGAGCCTGATAATGACTTTAGAAACCATGTGGTTAAATGTTCTCATTTACATATGAAGAAAATGCAATTCAGATGAATTCCTAAGCTATACAAAATTTCTCCCATTCACCCTATAATCAGAATTTATCACTCCGTTCTCTGTACTATAGCACAAACAGAAAATCATGTATGTAGAATATCTGAGACCTGATCTGTTTTGAATTAATTTATTTCAAGTTTAAATATCCTAACTCTAAGAGAGCACAAGGAATTTTTTAAATTGTGGTAAAATACACATAACATAAAATTTATCATCTTAACTATTTTTTAAAATATGTTTTTAAAAAATTGATTTCAGAGAGAAGAAAGGAGAGGGAGAGAGAGCTAGAAACATCAATGATGCAAATCATTGATTGGCTGCCTCCTGCGCAACTCCTACTGGGGATCAAGCCTGCAACGCAGGCATGTGCTGTGACCAGGAATCAAATCATGAATTCCTGGTTCATGGGTCAACTCTCAATCACTGAGCCACACCAACCAGGCATTAACTACTTTCAAGTGTATAATTTAATAGTGCTAAGGTACTCACAGAATTTTGAAACCAATCTCCGTAACTCTTTTAATCTTGCCAAACTGAATTTCTGTATCCATGAACAACAAATCCCCATTGAACACAAGGATTTCTAAAGACGTGTTTTATCCTATATGGTGTGATAAAATAAAGGAATTTAAGTAAAAAGAAATTGAAAACTTTAATTTCAAGAGTTTGAGAATTATTTAGAAGCCTCATGAAGAAAAACATTTTCTCTTAAAAGCTACTGTGAGAAAAAAGATTAATATTTATAATGGTTGATTATTAGTAAGAAAGTTAGCAAATTGTACCTACAGGTTTTAGTTGTCTATATCATTTTGTATAAGTATCCATTTTAGAGCTGTATTTTTATTACAAAAGTTGTGGACGACAAAGGGTATGCATAAGTTTAGTGACCAAAAGTAACCTTAAGGAGTGATCTGGTTGTGAATTTCTAACTGGGCAGGTCATGGTGGATAGTCATGCCCAGGTGTATAATTTCTTTAGTAAAAGATTTTTAAGCAAGCCCTTTACATTGTTCTTGTGCATCTAGGTTTACACACCTTTGGAATGCCAGAAGTAATCCTCTTATTCAGATTTCTCAAGGAAAACTTTAACCACCATCAAGAGAGCACATAATCTTATTAACTATCCTGTACCTTGTTTTCTCCCACCTTCAAGTAATCTTCTTTGTGTTCCCTCTTTAATTTCAAATGTATAAAAGAAACTGCAAAATTCATTCTCTAGAGCACTTGAGATCTTGCTTCTGGGCAATGTTGTCAGTTTGATTCAAATTCTTATGAAAATTCTCTATAGGTTTGGATGTTCCTTACGTCGACAAAGCCATACTTCCTTTCCTAGCCATTTAAAAATAGAAATTGAAATTGTTATCTCAATTATTTTTTATTATAAAATTTTATTTAATCTAAAATTAAATAGAAAAGCATGCATAAAAGTGAATGTTTTAGAAAATTAGTACATTGTGAGATTTTAAAAAATGAATCCTCTTTTAAATTTTTTTTGAATAATTAGATATTTTAGAAGTAGTGTGAAGTGATTAATAATATCTGTTCTGGAGTTAGATTGTATGGTCTTGAATTCTGAATCCACCACTCAATAGCTGTATGACCTTGAACAAGTTAATCTCTCTATGGCTTTGCTGTAAGATTATCTTTTTTCTTTTTTGAGTGAAAGCAGTTTTATTACAGAAAAGCTCCCTGCTTTAGGGAGGGGTTGCCTAGATTATCTTATCTACACTATCTATTTTAGCTGTAAGATTATGAGATATCTAGAGGCCCGGTGCACAAAATTCATGCCTGGGTAGGGTCCCTAGGCCTGGCCGGTGATCAGGGCTGATCAGGTTCCCCGCCTCCCCACCTGCTGGCCTCTTCCTTCCCTCACTGCCAGCGTGCCACCGCACCATTCTCTGTCTCCCAGCCTCCCCGCCTCCTCCTTACCCTGCTCTTTCAGCACCCTACTGCCGCCACTGGTCACCCGCCATATTTTGTGCTGCCCCCTGGTGGTCAGCGCACATCATAGCAAGTGATCGAACTCCCGGTCTCCCAGTCAAACTCCCAAGGGGACAATTTGCGTATTAGCCTTTGATTATATAGGATGCTATCTCCCTTATTAAAAATTTTTAAAAAATATGTTTTTATTGATTTCAGAGAGAGGAAGGGAGAGAGAGAGAGGGGGGTAGAAACATCGATGATGAGAGAGAATCATTGATTGGCACACCCCCTACTGGGGAATAAGCCCACAACCTAGGCATGTGCCCTGACTGGGAATCAAACTGTGGTTCATGGGTTGATGCTCAACTATTGAGCCACACCGGCTGTGCTACCTCCCTTATTTGATTGATGTGAGGATAATTGAATAAGATGTGTAAAGTCAATACAATAACTAGTACTTACTAAGTACTTAACAAATATTAGCTATTATTAATTTTACTATAAGTTAATATAATTCTGGTACTTGGTCTCTAGGATTAATAATCTATACTTCTGTTAACACTTTTATTTTTATTCTTCTTTGTGCCAGAGCTGGGACAAAGTCTATAGTCTTTATTTCCCCTACCGTGCCAACCAGTCCTTTGCCTACTGCTGGACAAATAGTAGGTACCTAATCTAATTAATCTTTGTTAATGAGTGAACGATGATAGTGTTTTAAAAGGTTTATAGAATACATTTTATTATAACAGCACTAATAATAGACTCCACTAAAGATAAAATGAACTGGATTTTCAGGCAAATCAGTTTGGGTTGGTTTTTAAAACTACAGTTTTGGGGCTTATTGAATGTGAAGAGCATTTCAGTGGATCATTAGAGGTAACTGAAAGGATGGACAAATTCATTGAGCAGAAGATAGAACCACACAATATATCGTTGCACTTCTGTACTAAGGCATGAGCTTCTATCCAGATCCATTCTGGTCTAAACTTGGTATAACAAAAAGAGCACTGAATTGAGAAGAGATCAGCGTTCCCACAGGGTTCCCACTGTATGACCTTGGACAACTTTTCCTCTTTAAACCTCAGTTTATTGTATAAAAACTATAGGCCCAGTGCACGAAATTATTGCATGGAAAGGGTCCCTAGCGGCTGCTGGTTGCCGGCTGGGGCCTCCCTTCCAGCCTCCCTTCCCTGGCTGCTGGCCAGGTCCTCCCTTTCCTGTCTGCCAGCTGCCGGCCGGGGCCTTCCTTCCACACTGCCCCCTGGTTGTCAGTGCATGTCATAGTGAGTGATCAAACTCCCGGTTGGTTGAACTCCTGAGGGGACACTTTGCGGATAGCATCTAAGGTCCATTTCTCCATTTAGAACATGTGTGGTTCCATGTTGCTAAATTCAGGTGTAACTAGGACCTTGTGGAATGTCTCTTCCACGACAGTGCCAGTTCTTCTCCCAGCCTGCCAAAATTCAGTCATTAGTGCCTATTCTGATGAATAACATCTCTCCCTGAATCGTTGCCAATTGGAAATTGTAGAATGGAATGTGCCACCTGGGTTTGGATTTGGAAATCAAAAGTGTTGTTGCCTTGAGGCATAAGGATGTTTCTGAAAAGCCATGGTGGTGAGTGAGCTGATCATACCAGCCATGGCAGCTTGCACTTGGATCAGGAAAAGAGGGTCGTCCCCTTCTCTAATGAGAGCAGAATGAGGGGATTACTCTTTTATTTTTTAAATTTAATCCTTACCTGAGGACATGCTTAGAGAAAGAAAGGAAGGGAGAGATGTAACAGAGAAACATTGACTGTTTGCCTTCCATACACTCCCCGACTGGAAATCAAACCCACAACCCAGATCTGTGCCTTGACCCATAATGGAACCAGCAACACTTCAGTGCACGGGATGGTGCTCAACAACAGCCACTCCAGCCAGGCAGAATTCTTTTTTTTATTACCTTCCTGCAATTTGCTATGTGAAATGTGCCCTGGTGATGCAGTATCACAAAGTGTATCAATGAATCAGTAAAGTGATAAAAAACAAATAAAACTTTCTTATGCTTCCATAATGCTTTGCTGTTTATAGAGGGTGGGGCAAAAGTAGGGTTACAGTTGTTTGTATGGAAAATAACACAATTAATAAGTAATAATCTTATATAATAAAAACCTAATATGCTAAGTGTCCGGTTGTCTGTTCAACCAATCAAGCGTAATATTGCTAATGATATGCTAGGACTGCTCAACCGCTCACTATGACATGCAGTGACCACCAGGGGGCAGACGCTCCAACTGGTAGGTTAGCTTGCTGCTGGGGTCCAGCTGATCAGGACTGAGTGAGATGGGCTGGACATGCCCTGGAGCCCTCCCGTGGTCCCTCCCTTGCTGGCCAACCTCCCTCGTCCCTCCCTGGCCCTGATTGTGCACTGGTGGGGTCCCTCAGCCTGACCTGCGCCCTCTCACAAACTGGGACACCTCAGGGGATGTCAGAGAGCCAGTTTTGGTCTGATCCTGCAGGCCAGGCTGAGGGACCCCAATGGTACACAGATTTGTGCACCTGGCCTCTAGTAGAAGGATAAACCGTGTTTCATGTACTCATATCCTACTTTTGTCCCACCCTGTATTTTTTTTTTTTACTGTTTAGTTTTTATTTCATAATCATAAACTTAACTCTGCAATCCAGCTAGACTGGGAAGGTTAAGGAAATTATGGAACCCAATAAACTGGCAAGAGCACAAAGATTATAGAACATTCCAAGTAAATCAGGGTGAAGGGGTGCTCTCCTGAGCTACAGAAGGAATGGTCTGATGGTTAAGATAAAACACAAGTCAGATTTATTAGAGTTGTACACAGTCAGCAATGGTGATCTTGCTGGTCTTGCCATTCCTGGACCCAAAGCGCTCCATTACTGTCACAATATGCATGCCTTCTGTCACCTGACCTAAGGCCACATGCTTGCCATCCAACCACTCAGTCTCCTATCAGTCAGGTGTTTCAGGCACTGGGCACAGATAGACACTGTTACTCTACCCCCTCCCACTTTACAGACGAAGAAACTGAGGCTCAGAGGTTATAGTGCAGTGGTTCTCAACCTTCTTAATGCTGCGACCCTTTAATACAGTTCCTCATGTTGTGGTGACCCCCAACCATAACATTATTTTTGTTGCTACTTCATAACTGTAATTTTGCTACTGTTATGAATCGTAATGTAAATATCTGATATGCAGGATGTATTTTCATTGTTACAAATTGAACATAATTAAAGCATAGTGATTAATCACAAAAACAATATGTAATCATATATTCAATATGTTTTTTTCGATGGTCTTAGGCGACCCCTGTGAAAGGGTCGTTCGACCCCCAAAGGGGTCGCGACCCACAGGTTGAGAACCGCTGCCATAGATGGACTTGCCGCTTGTATCATATGGTGTGTGAAGTCACCACCCTGGCACATAAATCCCAGAATAATTCTGTGAAAGCAGGAACTTTTATAACCAAATCCTTTCTCCCCAGTGCTCAGAGCACGGAAGTTTTCTGCTGTCTTTGGAACTTTGTCTTCAAACAGCTCAAAGGAGACGCGGACCAAGGGCTCGCAGTCGACGGTGATGTCAAAGAAGAACACGGTGGGGTTCACCATGGCTGGTCATGGGCGGCTTCGGGGCTGTGGTGTCTGCAAAGTGGGCCCCAGCCTGTATTCTTTATCATACTTGATCTCACAAGTATTCTAAATGGAAATCAGGTCCTCAGTTTCCCCATCCTGTAATATCATTTAGGGATCTCTGTTGAATTAGAGTGTGCTTTAATTTTGGTGAGAGTTGTCTTTCTTGCTCTAAGAAGGCAGCATTGTAGAATGGAAAGGGCATGTGGTCTGTCTCTAACTAGGAGTTTGACTTTGAACTAGTTAAGTATTTCCTCTCTCTGGGCCTCTGTTTCCTCATAAATAAAAGGCCTCTAAGCAAAAATTTCCCTCTCAGATGGCTAAGAGAATATGTTATTAATGTCTCATATGAGACTAAAATTTATAAATAATTCAATAACTAGTATGTTGATTTGTACCTAAAATAGATCATTAAGACAGAGGATGGTCTTATGGTACATTGGAGTAAATGATCATATTTCTGTCTATTTTATAAGTGCCTGATCAGCATTCAAACAATGAATCCATTTTGTTGAAATGCTTTCCATTTCAAAGGACTCATACAGGTGCATATTTAATCCAGTGATTTTTATATAAAAAGGGGGGAGGAGAGGACCTAAAATATGTGGATGGGTGCTGTGCTAGATATTTTACATACTTACCTACTTATTTAACAAATATTGGGCATTTTACATGTACCGGGCATTATAATGGGCATTGGACTGATACAACAGTTATCATGATAGCAAGGTCACTGCTGTCACGGAACTTACATTTTGGTTGGGGAGATGGATAATAAACAAATAATCAAGGAAACTTTAAAATAAATATAATGTCTATGAAGATAACAGATAAAATGACTGCAAGGGGAGGAGACTACAGTTCAGGTAGTCAGGAAAAACATCACCGAAGAAGTAATGTGTGAGCTGAGACTTGAATAGTACAGAGATCTGGGGGAAAGATGTATCAGTAGCAAGTGCAAAAGCCCAAAAGAGATGGTAAGTTTAGCATGTTTGAGGAATACATTAAAGGCATGGTCATTTAAATCTAACAAACTTTAGAAATAGATATTATCATTGTCTTGTAGTTGAAGATACAGAGGAATAAAGAGCCCAAGTTCAAGTAGTAAGTTGAGGACCTGAGATGTAAATCCAGGTTAGGCTGGCTTTAAAATCCATGCTCTTTCCACTGTGGAATGCCTCTCAGCAATTGATTAAAATGCAGTTTCTGAGTTGGCTTGAATAATTTGTTTCTCAGTGACATGGTGGGGAAGGTACTCTTTCTTTTGATTCAGGGAGTGTATATCCCAGCTGAAGGTGTAAATGGCTATTTGTTATTTGCATGTAATGACCATACAGTATTGTGTATTCTTATATGATACTCTTTTATGTATTGTGACTCCTTGTTCCCTCAAGGTAGGTAGGTTTCAGGTAGGTGGTTGTCCTCTGTCAGGGATCAAGCAACAGATTTTTATTAAGAATGTTGTTATGAGTTTGGCTGGCATGGCTCAGTGGTTGACTGTCAACCTATGAACCAGGAGGTCATGGTTTGATTCCTGGTCAGGGCACTTGCCTGGATTGGGGGCTCGATCCCCAGTGTGAGGCTGCCAGGCAGCTGATCAATGATTGTCTCTCATCATTGATGTTTCTATCCTCTCCCTTCCTCTCTGAAATCAGTATGTGTGTGTGTGTGTGTGTGTGTGTGTATTTATTTTTATTTTTTTAAAGAAAAGCAGTGAGAATGGCTGATAGCATTTGGAGAGGAAAAGTGGAAGATGTAAGGGTTGTCCTTAATTTAGTGTCCATTTCTCTAAACTCTAGGCCAGTGATTCTCAGCCAGAAGTGATTTTGTCCCTCAGGGGACATCTGGCAATATCTGGAGACATTTGGGTTGTCACCACTGGAGGAGGTGGCACCTAGTAGGCAGAGGGTAGGGATGCTGCTCAGCATCCTATAATGCACAGGACAGTCCTTCATAAAAAGAATCATGCATCCCCAAATGTCATTAGTGCCAAGGTTGAGAAACTGGTCTAGGCTTAATGTACTTGCTTATCTGGTCTCTCAAACTTGAGCGAGCATCAGAGATAATAAATAGATAATATGTATATATATATAGTAGATATATCTAAATTCATGTATAAGTAGACCTATGCATTTCAAATCCATGTTGTTCAAGGGTCAACTGTATTTTCAATCAGTGGTTCAAACCTCACATCCAAAAGGGCCAACTAATAATTATACATGGATTTTTAAAAAATATATATTTTTTTATTTCAGAGAGGAAGGAAGAGGGAGAGATAGAAACATCAATGATGAGAGAGAATCATTAATCAGCTGCCTCCTGCATGCTCCAAACTGGGGATCAAGTCCGCAACCCGGGCGTGTGCTCTGACCGGAAATCGAACTGTGACCCCGTTCAACCACTGAGCCACTCTGGCTGGGCTATACGTGGATTTTTGGCTGTGCAGTGGTTGGCACTCCTAACCTGCATGTTGTTCAAGGATCAATTCTATCATTTATCTATCTATCTATCTATCTATCTATCTATCTATCTATGTATCATCTGTCATCTATCTATCTCTAGACAGCTATAGAGAGAGATAGAAAGAATCGAGATTTATTGTAAGAAACTGGCTCTCGCAGTTATGGAGACTGAGAAGTCCCTAGATCTGTCAGCAAGCTGGAGACTCGGGAGAGCTGATGGTGTAAGTTTCAGTCTAAGTTCAAAGGCAGGAGAAGAGGGATGCCCCAGCTCAAAGACAGACAGAGAGAGTAAATTCTCCCTAACTACACCTTTTGGTTCTTTTCAGGTTTGGATTGGGTAAAGCTCAGTCATACTGGGGAAGGCAATCTGTTTTACTCAGTCTGATTCAAATATTAATCTCATCTAGAAACACCTTCACAGACACACCCAGAATAATGTTTAGCCAATTATTGGACACCTGTGGTCCTGTCAAGTTAACACATAAAATTAACTCTCTCCCAGCTATGCTCTGTATAAGGTAGGGGTGAGTGACTGGGGACTAGAAGAAAGCATAAGACAGTGTGCACCCTCGGGGGGCTTCTGATACAGGAGGGAGGAAGAAGCACATACACAGGCTGGGCAAAAATAGGTTTACAGTTGTTAATACTCAAAACACAGTGTTTGTTCTCCTTTCTTTGTTGTTGTTAATTCTCACCTGAGGATATTTTCCCATTGATTTTTAGAGAGAGTGGAAGGGAGAGGGGGACAGAGAAAGAGAAAAATCAATGTGAGAGAGAGACATTGATTGGTTGCCTCTCGTACTCGCCCTGCTGGGCCTGCAACCCACATACTTGCCCTTGACTGGAATCAAACCCGAGACCTTTCAGTCCGAGGGCTGATGCTCTACCCACTGATCAAAACTGGCTAGGGCCAGAGTTTATTCTTGTATTATTATTTATTAAGAACAACTGTACACCTACTTTTGCCCACCCCTGTAAATAAGAAATCAGTGGATGATACTAAGCTGGGTCTATTTACAGCAACAACTAAATGAGTTTCACAGTAAGCTTTCAGAGGAAGGAGAAACCACTGCAGGAGAAGAGTACAGGAAAGATTTTATAAGGGAGCAGAACTTGTTTTGAACCTTAATGAGGAGAGAGGTGATTTCTTTTATTTAAAAAAAATAGTACTTTTCAAGTGACCTTTAAGAAGCTTTAGGATATATACTAATATAATTCATACAATTTATATCAAAAAAGAAAATGGAAGACTCTCCATCCAGTTTTCTTCAGGCTAGATTAACCTTGACAATAATTTGGATAAGAGCAATGAGAAAATGATTTGTGTCCCATTCCACTTACAAATATAGATACAATCATTCTTCATAACATATTAACTAATGGAATCCAGTTTGGTTTTAAAGAAAACATTATATGAGCCTGCCTGCGTGGCTCAGTGGTTGAGTGTCAACCTATGAACCAGGAGGTCAAGGTTTGATTCCTGGTCAGGTCACATGCCCGTGTTACTGGCTTCATCCCATATAGGAGGCAGCCAATCAATGATTCTCTCTCATCATTGATGTTTCTATTTCTCTCCCTCTCCCTTTCTCTCTGAAATAAATAAAAACTATATTTAAAAATAAAAAATGAAAAGAACACTATATCATAAAGTAAGATTTATTGCTGGATTCAAAGACTGGAAGAAAAGTAGAAAATCAATGATTGCTTCACAGTTGAAGTCTCCCAAACATTTATTGTAGAGAAAATACAAGCTCCACAAAAGCTCTTATATCCTAACATGTTCTATGTAGCCAGCATCATTACTCTGACACCAAACCAAAGACACCACAGGAAAAGAAAACCACAAACCCAAATCCCCAATGAACATAGATGCAACAATTTTAACAGCATTTTAGCAAATTGGATTCTATGATATCCAAAAAGGATCATGCATCATGACCCAATGGGGTTCATCCCAGAAACTCAAGTTTCATATAACATTTGAATATCAGTCAATGTAATTGACCACACCAGCAAACTTAATAAGAAAAACAACAGTATCTCAATAGATGCATAAAAAGCCTTTGAGATCACTTTGTGTGTGTGTGTGTGTGTGTGTGTGTGTGCGCGCTGAGAATTCTTGGCAAATTTTAAGTATACAATATAGTATCATTACCTATCATCACCATGCCATACAAAACTTATTCATCTTGCCTAACTGAAACTTTGAATTCTTTAGCCAACACTCATCATTTCTCCCTCCCTAAGCCCCTGGCAACCACTATTCTAGTCTCTGCTTCTGAGTTTGACTATTTTATTCTTTTTTTTTCAGTTTGACTATTTTAGATTTACAAATAAGTGAGATCATGCAACATTTCAATATTTATCTTTTTGTGTCTGGCTTATTTCACTTAGCATAATGTCCTTCAGATTTATCCACATTGTTGCAAATGGCAGGATTCCTGTTTGTTTTTTTTTAAGGATGAATAATATTTCATATATATGTATATATATACATATATATAATCACATTTTCTTATCCATTTGTCCATCAATAAACATTTACATTGTTTCCATATGTGGCTACTGTGAGAGAGGGATGATTTATAAGTGGACCAATGCACAGAGGCTTTAGTTTGACAAGAGGTAGTTGGGAAATAGTGTCTGAATGGGAGATTGATGTAATAGTACCATTCAGTGTCTGAATGGTAGTAGGCAGGGGTTCCTGCATATGCTTCTTCACAGCACAAGGGTATTAACCACAAGGAGACAAGTGGGATGAAATACAGCCCCATATTCTTTCAAGCCAAGTACCCTGGTTCAGGAGTGTGTCCATCTGGAGGAAGGGGTGCCTTTTTCTAATGTACATAAAGACTCTGCAGGAGTCTTGCAGGAGGGAAATAGTGGAAGATTTTTTTTGAAATAAATGGTGGGGCCATATCATAAAGGATATTTCTTTGTATATAGATTGCTTGATGGAAATGTGTAGCTTTGATGGTAGTGGTGATTATGGGTATGATGTGACCCTACGCTGTAGTTAAACTTGATATTTTTCAATGCTAGGAACCCTATTTATCTGGCATAAAATCCACATCTTTTGAAAATTATATATGCTCAGTATTTCTCCAAAGCACTTTAAAACTTTATAACTGACCTACTTTGGCCTAGTATCAAATCAGCCTGATTTAATTTTATAAGCAAGTCATGGAAAGAGAATCTGTCCCATGACTCCAAAGCATTCTGTTCTGTAGCTCCACTATAATTATAGGCAAATGCATCTAATCTTCCCATCATGTGTTCTTCTGAGATACAGGATCCTTTTTCCCCCAGTATTTGATAATCCTGTTATCCAGTGATAGTGCGTCATTTAATTATTCCCAAAATAGAGACTTCCATAAAATTTGCTCAGAAAAAATAATTTTCTGTTCTCAACTGAAGTCACAGCTGGGCTATTTACTCAGAAATTAGTAATTTTCAGGGCCTTGAGATTGCTGTTTTTCTTAGGGGGGTCTTATAAATTTTAAGTAGGTATCATCAGAGATCTACAAACCTGGGACTCTATCGGATTGTGCATGGTTGCCCTCTCTGATATTAACCTCCAAATGTCTAGCTGTATTCAATTCAATAACCCCATTAACATTTCCTGAATATCTACTATGTGCCAAATAGTAGGACAGATATTGGGAATACAAAGATGAATAGAGAGTACAGTTCCCATCTAATGAAGTATATACAATCTCAAAACCTGATCATCAGAAGCACCAAGATTTAATTTTACCAACTAGCTCTGCCACCTACTAAGTGCTACCATTAAACATGTCACTTAATTTATCTGAGCCTCATTTTCCTATAAAACCAGTAACACACTGAGATGATATTCCTGTAAGGCATGAAAAATTGTAAGATGAATTTGGTTATGTGGGATGAATGAAGTGTGTAGTCATTCAGGGTTCTCTTTCCCTCCTTCACACTCTTCTGTCACCTTTGGATCTTTAGCTTTAAAGACTGAAAAGAGACTCATTATTTCAGCCTTTTCATTTTGTTCTGTGTTTTTCTTTGGGCTATTTCTACTTTTATCATGTCATTTGTTTGTAGATAAGTGGAACTTATACTCCTTATCACAAACACAGTATGAAAGTACTAAGACTTGTATAAGATGAAGTACTTAAGAGTGTAAGAAACCCTTAACATTGAATTTTCTTTTAAAAAAATATATTTTATTGATTTTTTTACAGAGAGGAAGGGAGAGGGATAGAGAGTTGGAAACATCGATGAGAGAGAAACATCGATCAGCTGCCTCCTGCACACTCCCTACTGGGTATGTGCCCGCAACCAAGGTACATGCCCTTAACCGGAATCGAACCTGGGACCCTTGAGTCCGTAGGCTGACGCTCTAGCCATTGAGCCAAACTGGTTAGGGCTAATGTTGGATTTTCAATCAATTTTCAAGATTTTTTCACCTTTCACTTTCTTGATCTTTTGTGCTTTGTGACATCTCATAGGACTGATATCTTAAGGAAAACTGTTTTCTGTCATTTTAGGTTCCTCTGCTGGATTGTAGTTGAACACTCATGATCTTCTGATAAGATTATTTCCCCTGAATGTTTTCTTACACTTAGTCACATTAAAACTCCTCTGCCACTTTTCTGCCCACGTTCACATCATCTTTCAGTTTATCCCTAATCAGCTTGGCATTTTAATCCCTGGAAGAACTGAATGCCATCTGCAAACTTGGCAATTTTCCCATGCATTCTCTTCCAGATTGTTTATATGAATGTTAACTGAGACACCATGCAGCTCGTTTTCTATCTAAGAAGTGCCTTAGTTGCAGAGCATTTGGTTTAACAACTTAATCACTGAATTAATAATTGAAGGACAAGCCACAGGATTTGCCTTTATCCAGAAAGGTGTTCACGTCTATTCTTTCTTTCTTATTCCTAAACTAACTATCCATAACAGACATTTCTCCATGTACTGAAAGAAAGTTTTATGGTTCACGAATTAGATTAAGTCCAAATTTGAGATAAGAACCCTTTTACCAATGTAAGGTCCTATTTGACTATTTTAGGCCTCATTTATGTCACTGTTCCAGAACATCTATAGTAGGAATCCTATACCATTTTCTATCACTTAATTAAGTCCTATTTTTAAAAAAAATATATTTTTTATTGATTTCAGAGAGGAAGGGAGAGGGAGAGTGAAATAGAAACATCAATGATGAGAGAGTCATTGATCAGCTGCCTCTTGTACACCCCTCACTGGGGATTGAGCCTGCAATCCGGGCATGTACTCTGACCAGGAATTGAATTGTGACCTCCTAGTTCATAGGTCAACGCTCAAACACTGAGCCACACTGGCTGGGCTAAATTCTACTGTTTAATATCACTGTCATTTCCCAGCTAGATTCTAAGTTCCTAGGCCTAATCAATCAAATGATCAATTGAATTGTTAGGTGAGTGCTGTCTAATAGCTATTGGTTTGCCATGTACCGGTAAAAAAGCAAGTCCTGAAGTCTAGTTATTGCACCAGCTTCTAAATGATCTTGAGCCCTCATTCACTCCCACCAGTCTCTTCTGCATTACAGACAAAACGGTCTCTCAGATCTTAGGCACATTTGATCATGCCACCTCTCTGCTTAAAATCTTCTTAAAAAAAAATTCTTTATTGTTTAAAGTATTACATAAGTCTCCTTTGCCCCCCCATTGACCTCTCCCCAGCCATTCCCACACCCCGCCCCCCAGCACATGCCCTCACTCCCCTACTGTCTGTTTCCATGGGTTATGCTTATATGCATGTATACAAGTCCTTTGATCTCTTACCCCTCTCCCCTCACCTGCCTTTGCTTAAAATCTTTGATAGTATTTTTGGAGACATTTGGGAAAACTTGAATACAGACATACCTCAAAAATATTATAGGTTTAGTTCCAGACCACTGCAATAAAATGAATATTGCAATAAAGCAAATCTCACAAATTTTGTAGTTGTTAATTCTTGCCCAAGGGTATTTTTTCCATTGATTTTTAGAGAGAGTGGAAGGGAGGGGGAGAGGCAGAGAAACATAGATGTGAGTGACATATCTATTAGTTGCCTCCCGCACGTGCCCTGACTGGGGCCGGGGATCTGAGCCTGCAGTGGAGGTATGTGCCCTTGACCAGAATTGAACCCCAGATCCTTTGGTCCTCAGGCCAATGTTCTAACCAGTGAGCAAAACCGGCTAGGGCATGAAGTCACACAAATATTTCAGTTTTCCTATGCATATGAAAGTTTTGTTTATACTATAGTATATTAAGTGTGTGATAGCATATCTATAAAACAACATACATACCTTAATTTAAAAATAATTTATTGCTAAATAATGCCAACCATCATCTGAGCCTTCATTTTGCTGGTGGAGGATCTTGCCTTGATGTTGATGAAAATGCTGTTATCTGCAAAGTGCAATAAAATGAGGTATGCCTGTATAGACTCAATAAAGATTTTAAAATTATTATTAATTATTAAATAATAAATTCTTAAAAAGGCATTACTAAAGGATTGGCAAATTCGTACAAAGATAATAGATTAGAGATTATCAGGGACTGAGGAGAGAGGAATGGGCAGTTATTGCTTAATGGCTCAGAGTTTGTTTGGGATGGTTAAAAAGTTTTGGAAATAGTGATGATGGTTGCACAACATCATGAATGTACTTAATGCCACTGAATTGTACACTTAAAAATAGTTAAAATGGCAAATTTTGTTATATATGTATTGCTACAATAAAATTTTTTTGTCATTATCAGAGATAACAATTGAAAGTTTACAGGAGCAATGACATGTTTGTTATTTGGGATTTTCCTTAAAACACTTAAACAATAGTCTCAATAACAATAGTTGAAGGTGATAGATGAAAAAGATTGGCAAAATGTTAATAACTATTGAGAATAGAATTTTTTCATAATAAAAGTTACAAAAATTTTTTTGGAAGCTATCCATTAAGTCCCAGCTACTCAGCCTGACATTTGAAGCCCTTTGCCAGTCTATCTCCTCTCTTTTTCAGGAGACTGAGCTGTCACTGCTTACCCCACAGTGCCCTCCCTGCAGTCAGCTTTGCTCTGTGCTCATACAGCCTCTGTGCCTTTGCAGTCACCTTTCCATTCTGCTTCCTCCTTATGCGGCAGATTTCTACTCATTCTTCAAAATTCAGCCTTCCCGGACTTCTCCAGGCAGTGAGAACTCTCTCCTTTGGGGTTCCCACAGTTCCTTGCTTGTACTCCTGCTACAGCTCATATGCCTTATAATAAGATCTTTTATTTATGCTTCTGTTCTCCACTAACCTGTGAGCTTCTTGAAGGTAGAGGAAATGGGGGGGGCGCGGGATTGGGGAGTGGGTGGGTGGAGGAGGGCATAGGGGGGATGGGTGGAGACTTGACTTGGGGTGGTAAACACACAATACTGTATACATTTGTTAACCAGTGTCATCCCAATAAATTAATAAAATGGGGGAGGGGAGAAAATAAGGTAGAGGAAACTTATTTTTCACTGTATGTCTTTTTGGGCTATATGAAACCTTTGTTGTTTTAGTTATTTTGTAAATATTTTTAAAGGAAAAGGTTGAAAGGTGAGAATGTGAATAGTAGTTATAAATCCTAAGAGCTGAAAGGGACCTTAGCAATTACCCATATGGATCTCCTTCTCCTTTTCTAGACAGTGTTTTCTCTACTTGGCAACTGCTAATGCATTTTTCTATTTTCAGCACCTACCACTTTGTGCTCAGTAAATTGTTGCTGAATTTACTGACAAACCACAGACCTTTTTCTACAGCTTACAAAAAGCCAACTATCTAGCTTGGGGTGTGTAGACATACACCTTTTAGAAGAAACCACTAATTTTCAGGCATGGTTTGTCAGCGCAGCAATTAAGCACCCGGAGGGATGTCACTGGGCCAGTGGAATCTGACTGTTCAATTGGCTGACTGCAGCGTGTCTGCAGTCCACATCTTGCCAGGGGGTGGCAGTAGATGCTCACAAATTTTCTTCAAGATCTGCAGCCCTGATTTTACCCTTTGCATGTAGGGTGGGAAATAGGTAGTCTCTACTATTTCTAGTTTATTTTCTGACTTCTTGATATCTGAAGATGCTTGGGAAAGAACAAGGCCTGAATTAGAGACAGTGAGAGCCAGAGACTAAGCACCTTGTTAAAGATAAATGTCCAAACCAGTGCTATGTATTTACTATGTGCTAGTTTCCAGAGCTCCTAGAAAGCCTTCTCCTCCCTAAGTGACTTCTAGAGACTGTAAATGCATTATTAGTGCCTTTATATTTTAGCTGGAGGTTTTGATCCTTGTGCAAACCTCAGCCATCTAGGGAGGATTTATACACTAGGCTGTTTTTAGGTCCTTTAGTTCCAGTTGGATGGAGATTGAGAACAAATTTTCATGTATGTAAGGATAGAGAAGAAAGAGCATCACACCCTGAATAAAGACATGCAAGAACACAGGAGAAGATGGCTGGGCCTGCAGAGGGAGACTCAATCCACTGAATCCTTACAGTGGTCTCTTCTGGTTTTCTATATTTGTCCAGCCCAAACCACATCACTCCTAAGATCTCCAGTCAATAAGCAAGCCCTGATTGTGAACTTACTAAGTACACAGCTCAGTGAAGGAGTTGGAAATTTTTAGATACAATGATTATATTTGTACAGGCTTTACTTAGCTCAGAGAATATAATCTGACAAAAGGAAATAATCAGTATTTAAAATTCAAAATGTTCTGGAAAATCCAGGGCTCACATGGTCCTTGCTTTGAAGCATTATTACATAATCTTAAAAGGTGGTATCAGATGATGATGCTATGAGCCAAATATGAGCAGACAATAAATGGGATGAAAGTTCAGAAGGAGAAGAAGCCATGTTGGCTGTGGTAAGTAAAACAGAAATAATACCTGGTATATAAATGTCTTGCATTTTGCTTATAGTACTTCATATTTGCATAGCATTTCAGAGTTTCCAACACTTTAATGTCGGTAATGCTCATCTGGCTTCATTAAGTTTTCATTACAACCTGTGACTCAGGTATTATTAAATGAGGGTGAATTACATAAAATACTTAGAATAGTGGTTAGCACATAGTGAATATTTGCTGTTATTAGTCTATTTTATGTATGAGGAAACTGAGGCTTAGAGGGGCATTTACTTACCCCAAATCACATACCTGACAAGTGGTGGAATTAAGCCTGAACTCAGCTTCCCTGGCTCCTGTTTCTAGACCTTTCTCCATTATCCCATGCATGTAGGAGGGGATATTTAAGCTGGGATTGCCTAGGTTGGGCCAACTTTGGAGGTGGCTTTAGCAGAGAAGTCTCTGAAATAATGCTCCTCAGCTTCACGAGCCTTTTTTGGCAGGTAGATGGGAATTGATGAGAGTATTCAGTGCCTTGAATAAGAAGAGTTAAATCTAGAAGCCTCTACTCATTTTAGCAATAAGGGGAGATGGTCCATCACGGAAGCTGCAAGCCATTAAACTCACATACATCCTCAGCTGCTAGGCTTGTTAAGAAAATGTCACAATAGGGGGAAATTGACAACACAGGCACCCGTAGGTATTTTTAGTCTGTGATTCAAGGATGTACATCTTGGGTTCTGTTTAGGACTGAGCACAAGGGGGTGAATTTGGATTGATTTGACAAGACTAGTAGTCAGAGAGTCCATACTGAGCACTTTTAATGGGCCCAGCTTATGGAAGGAACTATGTGTGTGTGCGTGTCATAGACTAATAACTTTTTCAAACTTTCAAACACTAGGCAGGTGCTATAATCTTTTTCTTGGTTTGGGGGCAGTATGGAACTATCAGTAAAAACTATAACTGTGTCTATTCATTGCACCAACAATTTTGCAATAAATTATTTCTTTTTAATGTACAACATGATGAGTATAGTTAATAATACTGTATGTATACTTGAAATTTGCTGAGTAGATTTTAAGTGTTCTCAACACACACACACACACACACACACACACACACACACACACACACAAATGGTAACTATGTTAGGTGATGGATTTGTTAACCTGATTGTGGTAATCCCATTTCACAAAGTATATGTATGTCAAATCATTATGGTATACACTTTATATATAATTTCATTTATCAATTATACTATAGTAAAGCTAGAAAAAATAAATTCTTTATCCTATGGATATATTTTTAAATGTAAGCCATTGTAACACTGTTATAGCACAAACAACCCAAAAAACTGGAGATCTAAATGCTTATCAATAAATATTGTTTAGATTACTGTAGGACCTTCAAGTGGAATTTCATACAACTGTTAAGAGAGAGGTCTATCAATATGTGATGAAAACATATCACTAAGATGTATTTTTTGCCCAGCCAGTGTGGCTCAGTGGTTGAGTGTTGACCTATGAACCAGGAGGTCATGGTTGGATTCCTGATCAGGGCATATGCCCAGGTTGCAGGCTCGATCCCCAGTGTGGAGCGTGCAGGAGGTAGCCAATCAAAGATTCTCTCATCATTGATGTTTCTATCTCTCCCTCTCCTTTCCTCTCTGAAATCAATAAAAATATATTTTTTAAAAAGATGTATTTTTAAGTGCAATAAAAATCAAAGTTCAAAAAAGAAGAGTTTATATAGTACTAGAGGCCCAGTGCATGAAATTTGTGCACTCCGGGGGTCGGGGGAGTGGTCCCTCAGCAGTCCCGGCCTGTGCCCTCTCACAGTCCGGGAGACTTCTGGGGATGTCTGACTGATGGCTTAGGCCCCCTCCTCCCCAGGAGGAGGGGGCCTAACTCGGCAGTCAGACATCCCACCACTGCTGCTGCGCTTGCCAGCTGTGAGCCGGCTCAGGGCTTCTGGCTGAGCAGTGCACTCCCACAGGGGGCAGCTCCTGCATTGAGCGTTTGTCTCCTGGTGGTCAGTGCACATCATAGTGACTGGTAGTTCCACCGTTCAGTCAATTTGCATATTAGCCTTTTATTATATAGGACAGTGATGGCGAACCTATGACACGCATGTCAGAAGTGACACGCGAACTCATTTTTTTGGTTGATTTTTCTTTGTTAAATGGCATTTAAATATATAAAATAAATATCAAAAATATGTCTTTGTTTTACTATGGTTGCAAATATCAAAAAATTTCTATATGTGACATGGCACCAGAGTTAAGTTAGGGTTTTTCAAAATGCTGACATGCCGAGCTCAAAAGGTTCACCATCACTGATATAGGATGATGCCATGTGCATATTGAAACATATATGTATACAGCTATATGCACACATTTCCTCCACAACGGAAGGATATGCTTGTACTGATAATGGGGAGTATGTGTGATGATAGAGGAATGGGGAAGGATAAACTTATTTTTTATTTTATCCTTTGATTTATTATTTGATTGACTTAATTGTATGACATATCATATACATATATATATATATATCCTATCTAATAAAGAGGGAATATGCTCATTGCCGTCATGCTGTTGTAAAGATGGCAGCGCCCACAACCAATAAGGAGGGAATATGCTAATTGACTGCCACACCCTCAAAGATGGCGGCACCCACAGCCACAAGATGGTGGCGCCCAGTCCCCTCAGCTCTGCCAGGGCAGCAGGCGTGCAGCAAGGCCAGGCCCGAGTGGGCCTGGCCACTCCACGTGCCTACTTCCGGAGTCCCCCAGTCCCCTCAGCCCCCCAGCCGCCCAGGGCCAGCCTGAGGCACAGGCAAGCCTCAGATGGCAGCTACTCAACCGACACCCAAGGCGAAGGCAAGCCCCAGATGTTGGCTGCCCGGCCACCTAGGGTCGGCCCGAGGTGCAGGCAAACCTTGGATGGCAGCTGCCCAGCCTCCCAGGGCTGCTCAAGGCTCAGGTAACCAGGGCCGGCCAAGGCTTGCTCTGCTGGCAGTGGCAGCAGCAGAGGTGTGATAGGGGCATCGCCTTCCCCTGATCGCTGGGTTGTCTCCTGCCCCTGAGGGCTCCCAGACTGTGAGAGGGGGCAGGCCGGGCTGAGGGACCCCCATCCCCCACCACTCCAGTGCATGAATTTTCATGCACCGGGCCTCTAGTATATAAATTTAAGCCATTTGCTCAAGATCACACAGCCAGGAGAGGGCAAAGCTTGGATTCCCACCCAGACTGTGAGCCAGAGCCCTGTGATCCAGAACTTTTCTGGATTCTAGCACATTGCCTCCTAACAGTGCTCTTAGGAAGTACTTCTGTCTCTTGCTTGTAAGCTACAAAATTTTTCACGAAAATACCTGGAATCAAAACATCCAAAGGCCATGAGCTAGGAAAATGTGCTCATTCTCCAGAAGAAGGTTTTGTGCCCCCATCCGCCTGCCATCTTGGATCCTTTTTTATAAAATTGTAGCTCAGCCAAGAGAGGTCAGTGACCTGGAGCCAGGAAATACAGACTAAGATTTCTAACAGGACAAATTACCTTAAGGAAAAGGCATTAACATAATTGGAGAGTTGGGGGTGGGGAGAAGGCATGAAAACAGTATCATTAGCCAACTTGGTCAATGGGCAGATGCAGGAAGTGGCAGATAAACCCAGCCAGAATCTATAAATAGACTTTAATATTAGTATTCAAAACCTATAAAATAAATTAGTGAATTAAAAAACGTTGGCACCTAGATATAAACTCTTAGTTCTAAATTTAACTCATGAATTTTTTGTGTGATTTGGGCATATTATTTAACTGCTCTGGGTTTCTGTTTCTCCACTGGTCAAATGGACAGCACTATCTGTCTTGGCTACTTCACAGAGTTGTAAGAAATAAATAAGGCAAGGAATGTACCTTGAAAATGCAAGGCATCCTACTGTTAATGCAAGGATAAGAAGTTACTGTTAATGTTTCTGAGACTTACCTCAGAGAAGAAGAGCTATTTTGAGATGGAAAATGGGAGAAAGCATCCAAAAAGCATTGCTGGTAACAAGGTAGCACACCTAACCAATACCAAAAAGGAACCCCATGGGTCATATTTTCTAGTTCCTCCCTTTTATAGTCATGGACAAAGACCTACAGAGTGCAAAAGCTTCAGAGCAATGATAGTGCCATGCATAGACTATTATTTAAACCAATAAGTAAGATGGAACAGTAGCCAAAGGGACAGGATATGCTATAGGTCCCTTGCCCAAGGGGCTTGCTGAACTATGAATGTTGAACAGGGTCCTGGAAGCAAACTGAGAAGCTAAGTAAGGAATTAGGGCAGAGGTGGAGGGATGGACTTCAGTGATTCAACTCCAGGATGGCTGAATGCCTCTGAGGAGCAATTTGAGGGTGGCCAGGGACTTGGATAGGACAAATGACAACTTCCTAGAACGGACTGTTCCAGAACCCAGAGAGGAAAGGAAATAGCTTGGCCTCGTCCTGGGTAGTTCACAGGAACCAGGGTAGGAAGTATTTGTAGTGGAACTACAACATCAAGTCCCTTTTGAACGGAAGAAGGAAATGGGGGAGGGGGGCATGCAATGCAGTACACATGACAAGTTAGTTTTTGTAATGGTGGGAGTGAAGATGGAAAGAATGAATCAACAGAGGGAGATAGTGCTATGCAGTGACAAGGTGACTGGACTCAGACTTGGGTGTGAATGCTTGCTCTGTCATTAACTTGCCCTATGACACTTTCCTCCTCTGAATCTTGATTTCCTCATCTCGAAAATAAAGACCTTTTCCCCTATCTCATGAGTTGTTAAGAGGATTAAATATGTTATTGAAAGCAAGTAATACACAGTTCCTAGAATGTGATGGCCAATATTTTAATATATTCCTTTATTTTGGAGAGGGACTTCTAGAAAATCTTCAGTGAAGCATGCTAATTTGAAATTTCAAGCACTGGGAAAGCAAGCCAACCTAGCTAACAGGTACAGTGTGGAAAGGCCCTTTTTACAAATAGAGAACCAGCCAAAGTAGACAGATAAGAAAAGCTTATGGCAGGGAGGACAGGTTAAGGATAAAGTAGGAATGGATATAAATATAAGCATAACACAATCTGTTTATCAGAGACTGTGAAGCCATTAATGCATTAATGTGAGGTTCCTCCAGATCCATGACAAAATGGAAGGTGAATAAATACTATATAACAGTTTGACTCATTTTCTTTCTTTTTAATTTTTAATTTATTAATTTTAGAAATAGAGGGAGGGAGAGAGAGAGAGGGGAACACTGATTTATTGTTTCACTTATTGATGCATTCATTGGTTGATTCTTGTGTGTGCCCTGACCAGGGATTGAACCCACAACCTTGGCGTACTAGGATGATGCTCTAACCAATTGAGCTAGCTGGCCAGGGCTTGACTCATTTTCTTGATTGCTCAGAAATACAGGATAGGTGTGTTCAATTATAGTAGCTTCACTCAGCATCCTTCTCTTTTTTTTTCTTTTTCTGGTAGCCTCACATTCTTTTTTGAAGTATGGTATGAAGAAGCAAAATAAGTTTCTTTAAAAGTAAACGTTCAAAGGTGGAAACCAAATAGAAAATCAGAGTGAAATGTCAGATGGGGGAAGATAAAGAAACTATAGAAGATTGACTTAGTCTTTACCAGGAACAATATTAGGGAAATTCCTACTTTTAGATTTCTTTGTTAGCCAAAAGACCTGAGATATAAAACTAGAGGCCCTGTGCACAGATTCGTGCACTGGTGGGGTCCCTCAGCCTGGTCCATGGGGATTGGGTGGAAACCAGCTCTCTGACATCCCCCGATGGGTCCGGGATGTCGGTGAAGCAGATTAGGGGCTGACAGTGCCCAGCAGCAACCTAACCCATGGCCAATTCCGTGAGGAATCGGGCTCCCTCCTCCCTCCTCTTTGGGTCAGGGGTGCAGCTGAAGAAGATTCAGGGCCAACAGTGCCCCAGCAGCAACCTAACCCAGGACTGATTCTGTGAGGAATCAGACTCCCTCCTCTACTGGTTGGAGCATCTGTCCCCTGGGGTCATTGTGCATCATAGCTACTGGTCAAATGGTCAAATGGTCACTTAAGCTTTTATATATATAGACTAGATGCCCAGTGCACAAAATTTGTGCATGGGTAGGGTCCTTAGCAGCTACCGGCTGCTGGCTGGGGCTTCTCTTCCCCCAGCTGCCTGCCACCGCCGCCGGCCAGGGTCTCCCTTCGCACCTGCCTTGGCCTGGCGCTGCCTGCTCACCTGCTCCACCATCCCGCCATGGTCCCGCTCTCATCGGGGCCTATTGGGGCTGGTAGTGCCTCCACTGATGCCGCTGCCAGCACCGTGTTGCCGACGCCTGCCATGTTCTGTGCTGCCCCCTGGTGGTCAGTGCATGTCTAACTCCTGGTTGGTTGAACTCCTGCCCATGGGGACAGTTTGCATATTAGCCTTTTATTATATAGGATTACAAAACCTGAGAGTGAAAAGTGCTTTGATTTATTTTATAGGTGGATAAGTTGAACATGTAAAGGAGGGGAAATGGTTTGCTTGAGGCTCTCAATTATGGTGATCCCATTGCAAAGTTAGGCTCTAACCCTAACCCACGACTGACTGTCATTCTGGGGTTCTGTCTGCTGTAGGCTCGTCTTTGGGATAATGAATTTCTGACCTCAAACACTTGTACAAAACTAATTTGTGTGTTTTTTTTTTTATTTTTCCAGGGCCAAGTGCTTTCGGGGCAAAAAAGTCCTTGGAGATTATGATATCAAAGTGGAACAGGTAATCAGCCTGAAGCCCAGAGCTGCATCTGTGTCATCATCAATCCCTCTTGGCATTCCAGAGTGAACCATCTAGTCCTGCTGAGTGGAAGACAGCATCCCTCGCTGGGTTTCAGGCTATCTCTTGAACCCCACCCTTTCCCCAGGGCTTTTCTTTTTCTTTTCTTTTTTAAAATATATTTTATTGATTTTTTACAGAGAGGAAGGGAGAGGGATAGAGAGCCAGAAACATCGATCAGCTGCCTCCTGCATGCCCCCTACTGGGGATGTGCCAGCAGCCAAGGTACATGCCCTTGACCGGAATCAAACCTGGGACCCTTGAGTCCACAGGCCAACGCTCTATCCACTGAGCCAAACCCGTTAGGGCCCAGGGCTTTTCTTTTAATGAGACATAGTCCTGAAGGCTGTATTTTTCAATTTTTCTGACTTTTTACCATGGTTCTGGTGTCCATAGAGAGGCAAATAGTGTGGCTCTTAGGGCCTTCATGTAGTGCAGGGTTCTCAGGCTGAGGAAAACCTTAGAGGAATGTCTTTCCAAATCACTGGCCACAGCTCCATGTTATTGGTGGCATGGTATTCCTGGGTAGGCACATGTTTGGCATTCAGGTGTGTGGCCTCCACTGGTGACTACTCTGGGCTTAAGACTATAATTCAGAGAGAACTTAGAAAAGAACACCTCCTTGTTTTAATGCAGTAAAGTCCCGAAAGGCTCATTTTCTATCTTTCTCTATTCTTTGCTTCATGATAAATAGAAATTAGATCCATTTGGGTAGAGAGGTGGGGGATATGCAATTTAAGCAATTTATGTATTTTCTATGTAATAATAGAAGTTACTCATTATTCCTTACACAGTGTGCTGTGGTTTACAGAGTACTTTCCTATCTATTATTGCATTGCATTCAGTTCTTAAAATAAGTTGTTACATAGACAGGGTTGATCAAAATTTTCCTTTTTTTAAATTCTCACCGAAGGATATGTATTCATTGACTTTTAGAGAGAGGGGAAGGAAGAGAGAGAGAGAGAGAGAGAGAAAATATTGATCAGTTGCCTCCTATACACTGAACAAGTGGGGATTGAATCCGCAACCTAGGTATGTGCCCTGGCCAGGAATTGAACCTGCAACCCTTTGGTGTATAGGATGATGCTCCAACCAACTGAGCCACCCAGCTAGGACAAAATTTTTTCCATTTTACACATGGGAGGAACTTTTCCTCCAGAGAATATAAGTAATTTGCCTAATGTCGTACACAGCTAGTTGGGAGTAGAGCAGAACTAAAACCCAGTTGCCTAATCTAAAACCTAGTGCTTTTATGTTGAAACTGATAAAGGGCACATTTGCCCTGGTTCACATTCCTGCTCTCAGAGAGGCAGCACAAAGGATGCTGGGAGTCTGAAGACCTGAGTTTTGCTTCTTCACTGCCAACAATACGTTTTTTGTTTTGTTTTTGTCTAGGAAAGTTACTTAACTGCTCTTTATCTCTGTTCCTCCTGCCTCATAGAGTTGCTATGAGTTAAATGAGATCAGTTTGTGAAAGTGCTTTGAAAATTGTAAATAAAATGTTTGGTGATGAGGATGTTATTGCTGCTGCTATGTGGGGGATTTGGCAAAGTTAGGACTGTGGACTTATTCCTCTACTGTTATTATTATTTACTTTTTACCATAGTAAAAAACACATAACCTTCTTAATCCCTACTGTTACTTTCCAGGCAGAATTTTCAGAGCTCAACCTGGTGGCCCATGCAGATGGGACCTGTGCTGTGGATATGCAGGTACTCCGGAATGGCACAAAGGTTGTCCGGTAAGGTCCTTTCTCTCCTCGGGGTTACTGTCACTGTCTCCAGAATTACCTTCTCTGGCTTGCAGAGGCAGTTTCAAAATCAAGTGTTGGAGTGGGATAATATTACTATGTATAGTGTGTAGAACTTAATGATGTGTGCTGTGCAGAAGTGGTACAGGAAGTCAGAGGAAACCAGCTCCTGCCTCAGGGAGCTCTTAGTCCAATGGTAGAGAAAGCTTCATGGACTAAGAGCTTACTTAGAGGTAACTGGATTCCTGTTAGAGGGATTCCAGGACTCCAGCCCCACTTCAACCAGTACAGCCATGTGCTTTTATCTCTGCATATATTTTCCCTGGAAATCAGGACTCTATTGCTTAAAAATAAAGTTTGAAAACCTCTGATCTAGTTCAGCCTCTTATTTTACATTGATTTGCTTAGATTGACTCAGTGAGTTGTTAGCAGAGCCCTGTGTTCTATGTGCATTCTCTTAACTCCAAGTCCTGTGTTATTTCTATATTCCTCATCCCTGGGAACTCATAACTCTAATAAGAAAGCCTAGAGTCAGAAGGGACATTATGGGTGGAAGAAAAATATCAATTACAGAGCACTTATATGCCAGGTAGTGCAATGGGCACTCATAGATGTGATCAAACATAATACAACATTTCTGTGAGGGAGGTGATGAGAATTCCAGATTGGGGAAATGATTTCAACAGTATTATTCTTACCCAGGGCTCGATGTGGCTTCCGGTTTTCAGATGTGTGAGTCTTGCTCCAGGAAGAGTCTTCACTTCACTCTCTTCCCTATACCAATCTGCAGTACCCTGACACTGATGCCTCCAGTGTCCAATAGGAACTGGGTCAGTGACAGGACAGGCAAAACTCAGGTGTCTGGAACCTAACAACAGGAAATGTGAGCTTGTCCATCCTGAGTTCATTTATCCTGGAGACTAAGGAGGACAGAAAAAGAGAGAGATGTCTGTCCATACGGGAGTGAGATTGGGGAGATCCTACAAGAGAGATAATAATGGATTTCTCAAGCTACAGGTAGAGTGAGTCATAGGGGTGCATGCACACAAGCAGGTAGTTACAGGTGCCGGGAGGGATCTGGCAAGAATAAGGCAGGCCCTTCCAGGTACCAGTATAGGATCTCAAGAGCTGGCCACAAATCTAGAGCTCAATTCCTATAACTGGGGTTTAAGATTTGATCTTAGGTACAGCTGAAGCCAGTTTCCCAGAATTGGGGCACTAGGAGGTCAGAGCAGCTCCAGCACTTGATGCTAAGTCTCCTGAGTGACGGAGGAGGGCTCCTTCCATCCCCACTTTAAAAGATTGATCTTTGTGCCTGGGTGGGGCTGTAGTTGTAGGGGGAGGTTGGATAGGTGCCTGGGCAGAGAACCAGGTAGATCATTGCATATGGTGTGAAATTGCTGAGTCCTAGAGCCTTGAGGGTGGAAGCTGCCACGGAATTGAATTTCTGAGAAGATGAGGTTCCTCAGGAGTAAGGGCATGAACATAGGGGCCTAGTCCTGTAGAGCAGCTGTGGTTAAGAGCTTTTCTGGCTAGAGGTGAAATGCAGGGAGCCTTCCCATGCATGGGAACATTCTGTACTCTCAGTGTTTCCTGTAGCTGTTGCTCAACCTCAGTTCTGCAAAAAATATTTGTACCTCTCCCTAGTGTCCGCTTTGGAAGAATAACATTGGGAAGTCTGGCATCTGGTTTCAGCCAGCTTGGACCCTTGCTCTCCTGGGGGCCTGATGAGGGCATTGCCTATTTTAAGGAGCAGCTTTATTGACTCAAAACAGGACAGTGTCTGCTGGGACCCCCTTGGAACACCAATTCTGGAGCCACAAGGAGCTTCAACTTTTATACTACCCCATAGTGATAGGGAAAATTCTTGTTCATTTAAGGTGTGAGGATCTAAAAGTGTTTCTTTCCTCCTGAGGGCATGTGTACCTTATAAAAAGGCAGTGCTTAACCGAGAGGAATAAGGGAATTTTAGAAATATGTTTCTCAGCCCTAGCCGGTTTGGTTTAGTGTTTAAAGGGTTGGCCTGCGGACTGAAGGGTCATGGGTTCGATTCCAGTCAAGGGCACATACTTTGGTTGCAGGCTTGGTCACTGGCCCTGGTTGGGCGCGTGCGGGAGGCAACCATTCAATGTGTCTCTCTCACATCGATGTTTCTCTCTCTCTGTCTCTTCCCCTCCTTTCCACTCTCTCTAAAAATCAATGGGGAAAAAAAATATCCTTGGGCGAGGATTAACAACAACAAAAGGAATATGTTTCTCTTCGAGATATGCCGTAATACCTCATTTTTAGTCCATAAAGAATAATAATAATAAAATAAAGGACTTGGACCAGGTGGCCCCTAAGACCCCTTCTCTGTCTTGGGCTTTGGAAATGGGAGACAAGGTGATGTACAACCTGAGGTGCTGGTTAATGGCAAACTTGCCTCTACATTTTTACCAGGTCCTTCCGGCCAGATTTTGTGCTCATCCGGCAGCATGCATTTGGCATGGCGGAGAATGAGGACTTCCGCCACCTGATCATTGGCATGCAGTATGCAGGCCTCCCCAGCATCAACTCACTTGAATCCATTTACAACTTCTGTGACAAGCCATGGGTGGTAAGTGAGGTTCCCTTCCCTCTAGGTAAAAGGGTAGGATCCAGGTCCTATATCTCCCAGTCCCCCAGGAGGGACCACTGGTAAACAAGATGCAGTACTTACCAGTTGAAAGGATATGGGAAGAGCTTCAGCTGGAACATGGGAAGGATAGGCTCTCACAAGAAAACATTATCATCATGGGCTGGGGCACCTTAGCTGCATGTGGACCTTTGGCCTTACAACAAAGTCACACCAAGATTCTGTGCAGAAGCCCTTACAAGTCTGTAAACTCTGCCCTCAGCCATAGGATACAACGATAAAAATAACTGTTTCTGCCTTTGAATGGTCTAACCATTGGAAAGGTCTGAGGCCAATGGGGATCAAGAGGATGGTCCATCTCAAAGGGGTGTTAGTGACAGTCTTACCAAGTGTTTTAACAACCTCAAAATCAGATTTATCTATAAATATATGAATCAGATGTCAGTGCCCTTAGGGATAATCAAATCTCTGCCCTTCATGTAGATATATGAAAATTAAAAAAGGAAAGTAAGGAGTGTAAAACCACTTACTATATGGTGCCAAATTCTGAGATTTTCCTATTTTAATTTTATTTAATCTTCACAATAACCTTACAAGGAAGATATTATTATCATTATTATCACTTTTTATAGAGAAATGAGACCCAGAGAAGATTAAGTTACTTACCAAAGTTATAGAGCCAGGATTTCTCTAGATTGCACTACCATACACATAAATTAAGTTAGCATGTGAGGAAGAAGCTAGTGTTCTCTTCTTTGGCCAGTCTGGAAATCTAGGAGGCAGTGGAAATTTCTGAGCAGAGAGAAAGAGTGAGGCTAGGAGGGAGAGTGACCTATGATGGCTACTGGGATGCTCTGGCCTCCCCTCTGATAGCTGGGGCAACCCAGCTCCTATAACTCTGCTACTCCAGGCAGGCCCTCTCAGAAGGAAATACCCGCCCCTAATCACATTCTTTTCTTATTGTTTTTCAAAAATCAAATTTCAGTTTTCACACACTAGCCTGCTGAGAGTCAAGGCACTGGTGGCTGATTTTGAAGTTCCTGAACCCCAAGCCTCTCCACCACTCAGGGAGCTGGAGGGGATGTTTTAACCAAATAGATCCATTGCCTCTGCTCTTGATCTTTTTTTTTTTCTTTCACACCTGAACTCACAGTTTTCCTGTTCCCTTGGAAGCCAGCAAGATCTGACAGTATAAGAGAAAAAGCAATGAATGAGGAGTCAAAAGATCTGGGAGCTGTTGTGGTTGAGGAGGGAGGTTGGGTTCCCAACCTCTACTTGTTCAGCCTTTCCCTCTGTGTGGCCTGTGGCATCTGGAATCCTAGTGTTATGGGAACAGGCTAAAAGAGTTGTGTGCTTTGAGTGTGTTGCTATTTGCAGAAGAGCACATATGAGGCCTTCACCAAACTTCTTTTCTGAGGTCCTCCCCTTTCTACTTAGTCATGTGCCCTTCCTTACTGCACATATGCCCTAGTCCTTCCCCCATCCCTTCAATACCTATTCGAATTTGGCTCCCTCATAGTCACACAGGGTGAGTCTGCTATTATTAACTTTTTCTGGGTGATTTCACTAATCAGCCTTCTGACTAAACATCTCTCTATGCTATGTGTTGTTTTTTTGTTTTTTGTTTTTGTTTTGTCAACTAGCAATAATAGTAGTACCTGCCACCAGTTTGCTAGCCTGGGTTGTTACAATCTCCTACTATTTGGGGTATCTTATAAAAGCTGGTTCCCTGCTTTATGTTTCAAAACTGTGCCAGAGGCCAGGGAGGGGAGAATCAGAGAGCCTGTGCCTAGGGCTTTGCCCCTCCAGGGATCAGGATATGGTGAGGGTTCACATTCTTACCCATTCACAATCCCAGCACATTGCTTTTGGCATTGCATGAGAACAGCAGGGCTTCCTGGCTAGACACCAAGTTCTCCCTTCATTCTTACTCAGCAGCTACCATACTAATGGCATTTTATATATTGTCCTCTGCCTGTTAATGGGAGTGGACAAATTTGGTGACTGTGAGGGGAGGGGTCCCTCTAAGATGTGGCTTTGGTTCATATTTTCTTAAATTTCTTTATTGTGGGTATCCTTGGTGTGAGGCCTTAGTTGGTTGGAAAACGTCCTACCTTACATCACTGTGTTTCTGAGCACATCTGCTATCTCATAAATTGGTCAGGGCAGGCACACTTGGATTTTGGAAATAGAAGCGGTCTTATCAATGAAAGTAGCATTCCAGAGAAAGCAAGAACATCTCCATACCATATTACTACACATGTATCTGAAATTCCTGTCACACTTTTTAGGTTTTTTAGAGACAGATGCACTAGGGTTGAATTAAATGTTTTATTTCCAGGAGGGATGATGGCAAATTATTAAATTCAGACTGATCTTGAAGTCCCATTTCTTCCAAAAAGTCTTTCCTGATTCATTGGTTAAGTGGTTTCAATGAACATTATCTTCGTATTTGTTGCCAATATCACGATTCATTGGTTAAGTGGTTTCAATGAACATTATCTTCCTATTGCCAATATCACCCCAGGTCCCAAATCCATTCTTTTGTCTATAGATAGAGGAAATAACCCTTATCGAATATTACATTTGTTTAATTGGTGACTGTGTGCTTGTGACTTAATCTAAGGTTCCAAGAAGGCAGGGGTTAGATGCCAAGCCCAGTACCTTGAGCAGACAGGACTACTGGAGATAAGGTTGAGAAGGGTAGGGTGAGCTACCAGGGACCCAACTAATGCCTGGGAACTGGCTACCATTTTAGTCTTGGCTGTCCCAGGACTCTGGGAGTGTGCCGTGGGCCTTTCTGGCATCAGTGTGGTGCCTGTGTAACTCTCCCACATGTTGGGAAGATAGGGACCCACATGCCTTTGTGCTTTGCCAGGGCGTGGGCTGCAGCAGGACAGAGGTTGTTAAGCAGAGCTGGCTGGGGATGCTGAAGGGCCTTGGGAGCTCAGGCAGAGCAGGAGTCTAGCCAGATTGAGACTTAAAGATCAGATCAGGTGGTGGAGAGAATCAGAGAGGGCAGGAAAGGTATGAAGCATTGGTCTGGATAGTCAAAGCCAGTTGAAGAACCATAGAGTGGTGAGAACAGCAAGGTGCAATGAAGAATGCAGTGGGGAAGAAGAGACCTGGCAGCCTCAATTCCAGGCATGGTCTGGGAGCCAAGGCTTTCCTTCGCTTCTCTAGGTTCAGTCTCCTCACCTGTAAAATGAGATGTTTAGTCCAGAGCTCTCTAAAGTCTCTTTCAGTAATAACCTCCTAGGGGCTTGCGCATCTGTGAATCATGCTTTCAGTCCTGGTGGATGTTTAGAGATCTAGAGTCACCAACCAATCACTAAGGAAGTGATGCAGAAATTTCAACATTTTCCAGCATTTCAAAAACAGTAACAAAATTCTCTTTTCCCGCAAAAGGACCACAAGAGATGATCACTTAAACTGCAGTTTGATGATGGAGTTTGGGAGGAAATATAATAAAGGATGTTATTTGTGGTAAAAAGTTTGAGGAACTGATCAAGTTCATTTCTCTCATTTTGTATATAAAGAAAATGAGGCCTGGAGAGGAGAAATCATTTGCCAAAGGACACCTAGCAAGTTAGAGGCAGAACAAGAATCAGAAGACTCCAGTTTTCTAATAACCCAGTTCTGAGCTTTTATTACTTCAGCCTCTTTCCCCCCAGGCTCATGTGCCAACATTCCTTATAGAGAACAGGATCTAAGCTTTGGAAAAATGTTCTAGCTTTCCTTTCTCTGATAAATAGAAGGCAGGTTTGATCTGGCAACTTTTCCTTCTAGCAGTTCCAGAAATTGGGGCTTAGACTGTGAAGTAACCCAGTAGCACTAAAGGAAGGATGCTGGATTACCCCTGCTGCCAGAGTACTGGGGATAGGTGTGTGGGGTGTGTGTGAATGGATTGAGTAGGGAAGTAACCTGTGTTTCCTGTGTGAAGAGCATGGTTTCTGCAGAGACTGAAAGGCAGCTACTTGGAGGAATAGAAAGAGTTATGAATTGAGAATAAAGGGACCTAACTATGAATCTGGCTCAACCATGTGACCTTGGGGAAATGATTTGACTGGGTCTCAGCTTCTTCACTTATAAAATTGTGGGGGAGGGGAGCAGAGGATGCTAGATATTTGCCAAAGGCCTTTCAACCCTGACACTGTAAGTATGCATACTTCACCTCTTCCTCATGGAGCTGTTCTGGTTTCTCATAGGTGAAGGGGCTAGTTGAGTTCAGTTCTTAGATGAGTAGTAAGTCCCACAAAGACTGAGTCTGCCTATCCTATATACCAGAACCATCAAAATCTTCCTGAAGAACAGCTTCATTCATTATCCCCCTGCTCAAACTCTGATTACTTCATACTACCTATAAGGAAAAGATACTGTTTCTTTGCCTGGCATTTAAACTTCCAAGACTTGGCCCATGTTACCTATCCAGCTTCATCACTTGCCATTTCTAGAGATGCAGGTGTTTAGAATTAGAGAACCAAATTTCAATCTCAGCTTCACCTCTTTGCAGCTCTGTGACTTTAGGCAACTTTTGTACCCTCTCTGAGTGTTATGTGTAAAATGAAGATGATAAAGTACCCAGTTCCTCATTTTAATATGAGGCTTCAATGAAATATTAAAATTGAGTAGGTACTGAATGAATGTTAGCTCACTCTCTCATTTTCTCAGTTAAAGAATATGTTCCTTGAGAATGGGAATTGTACACCTCTTTTATATCCTCAGAGCACAAATTCCTCAACAGAGCAAATGCTCAATAAATATTTTTTGATAGATTGCTGTTTTGTCTGTTCTATAAGTTGTCTAGATAAGCTGAAACATTTGTTTCTCTTTTACAGTTTGCCCAGCTGGTGGCCATCTACAAGACATTGGGAGGAGAAAAGTTCCCACTAATTGAGCAGACATACTACCCCAACCACAAAGAGATGGTAGGTGATCAGGTGGGGACTTTAGTCTCTGTTACTTCCACTCTGAACTTATTCACATTATAACTGTGGGGCTCTGAAGAGGGTTTTAGTATCTTAACCCCAGTTGGAGCTGAACTGCAGACCTGCTTTGTGAGGCCAGAGTGGCTGTATTTTAGCTTATAGTCCCTTGTCTCTAAAATCTGGAGACAGAATAGGGAAGAGCAGAAACAAGGCATTTTATCAAGCTGAGAAAATAACAAACCTATGGATCAGTAATCAAAAGATCCCACTCTTTGGACTCTAGCCCTGGCCCTGCCACATGTCACTGGACTAGTTAAATTTAAACCTATGGATCAGTAATCAAAAGATCCCACTCTTTGGATCTGGCCCTGCCACATGTCACTGGACTAGTTAAATTTACTCACTTTGTGTCACTTTCCCAACTGGAAAGTCAAATGGGCATAATTGTTCCTAACCAGGATCTCGAATTTGGTACAAAATTTAAGTAATAGCCTTCTGGGAAAATGTGAAGCATCCCTCAGATGTCAGGTGTTATTCCTGCTATTATTACCAAGGCCTTTCATTCCCTTGGCTTTGTCAAGATTGTGAGAAAACTGGGTTAACATTATGCCTTCTCTGAGGCCATCCTAGGATATCAGAAGGGGCAGAGAGATGGCATGGTTGATTGGTTTTTCCTCCATGGAGAGCTGGAGCTCGCTCCCTCTTCTTCCCCTCTATCTCCACACCTTCTGCCCCAGGCCTGCATGGTCAGTTGGTGATCATGCTTAACTCACCAATGGAGACTCTCTGCCATAGCATTCCACTTGTACTCTGGGACAGAGATTATGTTTGTTACCCTCTTACTCCCTTCTCAAAAAGGAACTACATTTGTACCATTTCTGTGAACCAAGAGCCTTCTTCTGGCATATTGTGCATGGCCTTGCTTCTCATCAAACAACATATAGAAAACAAATAACAACAACCTTGAGCCTTGAATAGAACTACCTCCTTAGAGGTAGAGCTTCCCAGGGAGAGGCTCTGGAACTTTAAGCTCTTGTCCTTAATAAATCCTTGAGACCAACATCAGGGCTTAAGAGATCTATGCTTGGAGTTCTCAGGGAGTCCAATACACAGTGGTAAGGGGACTGAGTTGAAGGAAGCATGGGGACCAAAGCTGGATTTTTCTTGCTGTAATATTTAGCAGGGCTAACCACAAAAATTTTTTTGAAAAAATTGCAAAGTATATTGTCTAATCTACCATCCTTTTCCCCCAAGAGCCCCTGTGTTATTTCTCTCTTGTTCTCTATCCTGAAATTTGCCCTCCAAAGAAGACCTCCTGAGATCTCTCTGAGGTGTTAAAATCTAAAGGAGAATTTCAACTCTAGGCTTTTCTGGCTTAAAAAAAAATTTTGAAGTAGGGATGAAGACATTAGTAATCTAGTAGAGAAGGACTTTCTAAAAGAAACATAAAAGAAGACTTATGGACATCAGGTGAAGGTATTAATGGTAGTTAACCTGCAGAGATAATACCTAAGTCTATTCTTATCCAAAGAGGTGTGCTAGGGGGCCAGACCCTCTGCCAGGAATGGGACAGAGGAGATTACAGCGTGTAGTGGGAGGTTAGGCCATTGTAGGTCTCATATTGAGTGATTCTATGCCCTTGTAAGTCACTTCCCCAAACAAATGAAAGTGTAAGAGAGGAACAAGATGAGCTGAGATTGGAGTAGAGGATACACAGCCATACTATATTGGTCTTTTCATTCTTCCAAATCAGCCTGTTTACGATACTGTCAACCTGTCTTCTGGTGTTGTACATCAGATAGCTACACTATCTCAAATGAATAGCATTCACCATTTCTTCACTATTAGATCAATTAAGGTAAGAGAAAATACATTTTCCTAGAGAGAAAAGGGAATAGTTCTGGCCAGAACTATTTTGATTCTAATCCAGAATCAAAACTTTCAGTAACAGGTATTGGCTAGAATAAAAAGGTTTGGGAGGCAGGAAAGAAGGGCTGAGGGCAGGATACTTTCCCTAGCCTTTGACATGTTTGGGCTGGGGTTTCAGACACAAGCTGTAACATACCCTAGCCCTGTTCTAACACTAGCCAGACTGTCCACTTGGTACTTCCCCTTGGCTGGCAGCAATGAGGCAAGTGGTGATAGCCAGAGCTTTGTAGAGAGGAAGAACTGGCTTGGTCTTCAGAACTCCTGAAGGAATGTGGTGGTCATTGTTCTTTACTAGGGCTGGATTATGTCAACAAACTCCTTCCTGAGGGGTAGGCGTCCCTGGTACCAGCTGCAGGTGCCATCAACATGCTTCATGCAGACATAATGCCGGGCCTGGTACCCATAGAGTTTCCGTTCCAACAGCCAGTCTGTCCAGAGGCACTCGTTGGGGGCCGAGATGGTACAGGGCACTGTATAGCAGGTGGTGACCTAGAGTCATAACAACACAACATCAAAGTGAGTAGGGTGTCATTTTTCTACAATTTTTTTTCAGATTCATATACATCCTTACAACCTAGCTCAAATGCCCTAGCCTTATGAAGTCCTTCTTAGTCTCTAAAATTCCCCAAGTTTTCCTTCCCCATGGTTTCCCACATAGTTTTGCCTCTCTAATGGCATTTCTGGAGTCAGACAAACCTGAGGGTCCTTACTGTACCACTGACCTTGAGCAAATTACTTTCTAGAGCATTCATTTCTTTAAAATGGAAATCTTAATTATTCATACATTTGTTATAAAGACTACATTAAAATATTTAAAATAAATTGACCATTAGAGGGCCTGATAAAGAGTAATTTCTGTTAAAATGGTAGCTATACTATTTCAGTTTGCCTTATATGATGCCACCTTCCTTGCCAAAATGTTAAGTACTTTGAGATCAGGGACTATGGATCATCTTGCTTTCCCATCTCTAACTTTATACAGTACCTGATCCATGGCATATCTCAAGTATACTATAGTAAATGAATAAATGCATGCATGAAGGAAGAAGTACCATCAGCAGGTGCCATTAAAGGTGAGACTGAAAGGCTCAAGACCCTCCCCCCACCAACCCCCCACCAAAGACCTTAGAAATGGACATCCTCTTACTTGGCAGCCACAGTTCAGATGGTAGTGGTGATTCAGACTTTCTTTTTGCAAAAAGGATAGATTCTCCCAGGGCTCAATGTAGTTGCACAGATGGATGAAGACTTTTCCATCATTGAGGACCTGACCTACAAAGGGAGATAGAGGAGAACCTAGCATGAGGAATATGTTTGTGAAACTCCAGAAGCCTGGATCCTTGAAGAGCCCAGAATTGCAGCCTCTTTAATGTGTGTGTTTTTTGGTTTTGTTTTGTGTGTTTTTTTTTGGTGGCAGTGGTGACATAAGACTCAATTAAGGGACCAAAAATATCTCTATAATCTTTATATCAGAGATTATGTTTATACAAAGGAGAGTTGTGGGATAAAGGCCTTTTCCTTTAGTGTGATGCAGAGAAAACATGGGCTATAAAGGGAGATTCTTAGTGAAACCCCTTTCTTTTCTGTCATTTACTAGATGTGTGACCTTAAGAAAGTCATGTAACTTCTCAACTGGGAGATGAGAATGATAAGGTTATTGTCAGGATTAAATGAGAGAATATTTGGTAAAGCTTCTGGCACAGTAGTAGGCCCATAGAAGATGCTCAATAAATAACAGGGCCCTTCCCCTTTCCAACCCTTCCCAATATCTACATAGGCCAGTCTTCTGCTCCATTGATACCTATATTGGTATGTCTTTCTCCTTCTCTATGGGAAAGTGCCCCTTCTTTACTTATTAAATGGTTTCCTATCTTCCAAAGACCCTTTTCAGTACAACCTCATCCTCAAAGCCATCCCTGACCATGCTAGCTCACATCTCTTAGAACTTTAGTCATTCATTTACTTACTGAGCAACTACTAGACCTGGTACCATGAATGCAGAAATAAATATGGTAGGATCTTTGATCTCAAGGAGCTTAAAAACAAGTAGGTCAGACAGATAAATAGGCAAAAATTACACTGTTATCTATACTAATAAAAGCCTAGGTGGTCCTTGCGCCCTTGCGCAACACTCTCACATCATCACAAGATGGCCACCCCACGTCATCACAAGATGGCCGCCACAAGATGGCCGGCAGGGGAGGGCAGTTGTGGGCAATCAGGCCAGCAGGGGAGGGCAGTTGGGGGCCATCAGGCTGGCAGGGGAAGACAGTTGGGGGCCATCGGGCTGGCAGGGGAGGGTAGTTGGGGGCCATAGGGCCAGCAGGGGAGGGCAGTTGGGGGCTATCAGGCTGGCAGGGGAGGGCAATTGGGAGCGATCGCACCAGCAGGGAAGCAGTTAAGCATCAATCAGACCAGTAGGGGAGCGGTTAAGGGGCGATCAGGCTGGCAGGTAGAAGTGGTTAGGGGCAATCAGGCAGGGAGGCAGGGGAGCGGTTAGGAGCCAGCAGTCTTGGATTGTGAGAGGGATGTTTGACTGCTGGTTTAGGCCCAATGCGGGATTGGGCCTAAAGAGGCAGTCAGACATCCCCCAAGGGGGCCCAAATCTTTTATATAAATACTAGAGGCCCGGTACATGAAATTTGTGCACTGGAGAGGGTGCAGGCTGGGCTAAGGGACACCCCTCCAGTGTACGAATTTCGTGCACCAGGCCTCTAGTGTTTATATAAAAGATGCAGTATAAGAACAAAGGAAATCACAATTATCTCTGTCTGTGGAAGGGGCAGGGGGCAAGGAAGCTGTCTAAGAGAAGATGATGCTCCTGTTGGGCTTTGAAAGGATGGTTAGTAGTTTACCTGCCAGACAAGTTGGGGGAAAGACTTCTGGACATTGGGACTTTCTGTACAAGGTGGAGGGGCACAGCCCAGCAGAATACCTTCTATAACTGCAAGTAGTTTAGTTTGGCTCTGGGGAAAATGAGGGGCTGGAAACTCAGTGATAAGTGGCAGGAGACAAAACTGGAGAGGTCAGCAGTGTTACGGTCACAAAGGACTTTCACCATTAGGCAAAAG